CAGGAATAGCAGAAGGAAGAAAAAGTCAAGAAAACCACACCCAACTCACTTTCCCACAACCAGCTTCTTTCTTCCCACCCCAACCCACGGACACCCATGCCCTCCACAGCATCTGTCTGTTCCTTCCTTCACTGGCCAAATATTTTCTGAGTGCCTCCTCTGGGCCAGGTGCTGTGGCAGGCCCCAGGGAAGCACCAGCTATGATGAAAGAGGACCAGAGAAAGCAGTCACCATGGGTCCATCTGGGTTAAGAAGAGGCAGTTTAGGTGTGTCCAGTTCCGACTCTGCAAACAAAACCTTAGGCTATAAGCGTTATCTCAAGAGCCAAACAACTTACCTTTGGTTCGACAAATCTCAATCAAGTTGACCACATTCTCGTGTTTTAGAAGCTGAAGGATCTTGATCTCCCGCAAGGCTGTAATGGGGAACTGGGTGGGAGAGGGGGAAGTGGTCAGGAGAGAGCGCAGTACAGAGCCCAGCCCTGGGTTCTATACTCAGAGGCAAGCTGGGAGACAAAGCAAGAACACGTGCTCTGAACGCAGCTGTCTCAGGAGCCTTATGTGTAAAATAGGTACAGCAGGGGCACACACACCTCAAAAAGATTGTTTCAGACAACAAACTGAAACAGCAGTACTTTGCTACTAGCCAACTAGCCACTAAATGCTCTGCGGTTTCGGCCTTTAAGCTTGAGCTCTGCGGCTGTTTTGTTGGCAACAAACATGATGACTTAATAACGTCTTTGCTAGAGCAGGAAAACGAAGGTTTATGGGAAACTATACTAGAGCTAAGACGCGGTGGAGGAGGAACCGCTCCTTTTAAATATATTAAATAATTATTAGTCACCTTCCAAAAACCATGCATATGTATCTCTTTTACATTAAGCAAAATTTAACACTAAGAAAAAGGTGTTTAAAGGCTTCCTAACTTCGTGGGCACACGATGCAAACATTAACTCCCCCTCCTGGCCTCAACTATAATTGCCTAAGAATGAAGCATTTCGGTTTTAGGGTGGAGACCAAATTCCTCGGAAATTTCTAAACTGCTACAAACAAAATGAATCTCAACCTGAGACTCGTGGAGGCAGCAGGGTGGAAAGCCAACCCGGGGTCCTGGGCAGTTAGCCGGCCCGCCCGCACGCCCGATCCGTACTCACCCCCTCCTTCTCATTTTCCATCAGCACCTTCTTCAGAGCCACCTTCTGGCCGGTCTTGCGGTGCTTGGCCTTAAACACCTCCCTGCAGGCGGAAAGGGCGACCCGAGAGAGCTCATCAGGCCGTTTCCGCAGGGCCCGCCCCTCCCCCACTACAGGAGGAGGGGCAGCAGCAAAAGACTCCCGGGCGGGGCTGGGCCGGGTACCCAGAACACGCGGCTACCCCACGCGGCACCCGGTCTCGTTCGGAACCTCTGCTTCCTCTCCTCCGTCCCTTCTCCTCACTCGGGCGTCTCTTGGAGAGGTCTCGCTCCCCTCACGGGCACTTCTCTGCAGCCCCTCCCCGCCCCCCACCACGGGCCTCAGGCTCCTCCCCGGCAGCCGGCTCCGTCAGGCCCAGGCGGGGTGCGGCACGGCCTAGAGACTTGTGGGCAAGCCCAGAGACAGGCGCCTTCTCTACCACCTCAGGCCGGGTCCCCGGCGTCCCGACAGGGTGCAAGCCTAGGACTCCCAACCCCGAGGGGCACAGCCTTACCCGAAGGTGCCTTGGCCGATCTTGGCAAGCTTCTCGTATTTGGTAACTTCATCACAAAAGGGGCACTCAACCGAGTCGTACTGCTTTGCCATGGCCGCCTCCAGCGCGCCGCCGCCGCCGCCGCCGCCCCCGACCGCCGCTGCTGCCGCTCCCGCTCCGGGTCCCACCGCCGCGCTCCAGGCCCCTCCGCGGCCGCGCCACTTCCGCCTCCACGGCCACTTCCGGCCCCGCGGCGCCGACCCCGCCTCTTCCGCCCGCCGCCCGCCGCCAGGCCCCCTGGGACTTGTAGTTCCCGGGAGGCCAGGGGGAGCCGGAGCTGCAGAGGCGCCTCCGCCGCCGCCGCTGCCCCCGCCTCCGCCGCCGCCACTACTGGCGGCGGCCCCGATCGGGGGCGCGGGGAGCCGGGGCGCCGGGGCTGGGGCTCGGGGCGGCGCGTCCCGCTGCATTGGCCCGGGCCGCCGCTGCTGCCGAAGCTGCTGCCGCTCTGGCGCCCGATCCGGGGCCAGCCGCAGTGCCCTGCTCCTCCTCCTCCGACGGCGCCGCCTCCGCCGGGCTGCGCGGGGCGGCGGGCGGGGGGGGCGGCCCCCGAGCCGGGGCCTGGGGGCTCCCTGGCCGGGCCCGGGCCCGGGGCAGCCGGGCGAGGGGCGAGACGGGAAGAGCCGACTAGGAGGCAGCCCGAGAGCCCGGGAGGGGGCGCGTTATAAAGGGGGAGGTGCCCGGCCTCGCCCTCCCCTCCTCCTCCGCCCACCCCCTCCTTCCTCCCTCCCACCCTCCGCGGCCGCACCTGCCGCCGCCGCCACCGCCCGCCCGCCCGCCCGCTCGCTGTCCGCCGGCCGCCCTAGGCGCGTCACCGCCCGCGGCCCCTCCTCCGCCTTCGGAGGTGGGGCCCCGCGCTCGGCACCTGGCTGCGGGCGCCCCGCCGCGTGCCTCAGTTTACCCCCACATGCCCGCTGCTGCGGAGAGCCCCTTCCTCCTCGGCTTGGAGTGCCCCCCGAGAGGCGAAGGCGGGAGGTGCGGAGGGAGCGTCCTCCGGCCCTGGGAGGAGAGAACGGCCCCCGCCACCGCCTCCCCCGGTCCCCGCCACCCGCCGTTGACATGGCAACCGATGGCCGCCAGGGGGCGCCGCGGCACTGGAGACGGCGAGAAAGCAACGCCCGGGCCTTCTATTGCTGGAGCGCGGCTCTTCGGGGGGCAGGGATGGGACCCGCAGGACTCCCGCCTCCGCTGAGCCGCGCCAGAGCTGGTCCGGCCCCGGGTCAATAATCGCAGAAAACAGCTGCCATTTTCTCAGCTCTCTTGTGTGCTCAGAGTGCTGGGCGTTCCTGCCGACTCCTGAATCAATAGCCCCCATAGTCAGGATCACTAACCCATTTTGCAGAAGAAGACATTGAGGCTCAGAGTGGTGAGGTCGTTTGCCCAAGGTCACACTGCGACAAAGCTGGGACCCGAACCTGGGTGTCTGAGTGTGAAGGGGACTCTTGACTCACGCCATTTGCGGTTGGGCCAGGAGGAGAGCAGTCGGGAAACCTGCTGTCGTTATATGAGGGTGCGGGTTCACCATTCACCCCCCTTCTTCCCTCCGCCCCCATCTTCCTGCTTCCAGTGGCCTCCAGATTCCCGCTCCAGCTCTGCCCAAGGACCAGCCTCCAGCAAAGCCGTCTTTTCTGCCTGTGCCCGGCTGCAGTCTGCCCCCTCCTCTCCAGCCCTCTGCTGGTGGATCTTGAGACCTGGCCCCCCTGTCTGGGCTCTGTCTGTCCCGGAAGAACCTGAAAGTGACCTCTGAGGCTGTTTCCAGTTCACATCCCGCCCCACAGGCAGTGGCCGTGCAGATCTCTACTGTCTCCCCCAAGCCTGCCTGCAGTCAGGGCGATGCTACGCTGATTCTGCACTCCCCCATACCCTCAGTACCCTCTCTTCCTGCAATAAGCCCTCGGTGTGGCTCCCAGCTCTTACCCCACACTGCTTAGCCTCAGAGCCTCCTAGGAGGAGGCAGGAATGGCTTTAGTGACCTTGATGTCACAAGAGGTCCTGTTCTAGGGAAGGGCACTATCAGGGAAGGGTCTAAGGGTCAGGCTGAGGAGGAAGGAGCCCTTTCCTGAGGGCAGTGTGGAGCCACAGAGGGGTTCAGGCAGGGAGCAGTGTGCAGTGGGCTTCACAGGTACACTATTTATTAAAAGTAGGAGGCTGTTAGCTAAATTGGAGGTGGGAAGGATGAAGAGGGAGAACAGAACAATCTTGGTAATGACAACTTATTGAGGGAAAATAAATGGTCCAAGCCCTACACTTAGCACTTTATGGGAATTATCTCAATTGTCACTCAACCCTGAGTACTATTGTCACCTTCATTGTACACATCAGGATACTGAGACTCAGAGGTGACGTCACTTGGCCTGGGTCAGACAGCTGTCCAGTGACCATATTGGTATTTGAACCAGGTCAGTCTGGTACAAACCCCAACACTTCACCATCTCAGGGTCCCGCCCATCAGGCCCATGGGTGGAGCCACCGGTAGGGACAGTATTATGGTGGGCAGGACTCTGCGGTGGGCTTGTGTGGCCTCCACTATCCGACTACAGCTCAGGCCAGGCCCTGCCGTTTCCCACGAGCCTTCCCTAAGTCACATCCTGTGGGCAGAGGCCCTAGCAGAAGTTCCGGTGGAGCTGTCACCTACACCCCACCATCCCCGGTCTGAACCCCAACATCCGCCCGTCACTTCCCCTTGGGGCCTCAGGCCCTCAGTCCCCACTGTGGGATGCAGGTAGGCAACGGAGGCAGGAGAGGCCGGAAGCCCATCAGAAGGCTGCCTGTCTGCCCAGGCTGCCCGGGTCTGGCGCCCCAGATCACCAAGCTGCCAAAACCCAGGTGGAAGTGAGAAGTGAGTGATTTCTCACTGACTTGAAATGTTTCCTACTTCCCATGGATCGGCTAAGGTGGCACAAGGCTGGGCAAGTGGCCAGTCCTTAGTAGATGTCTGCCTGAGAGAGCCACTGGTCCTACTGCTATTTATTTATTTATTTTTTTTTTTTGAGACGGAGTTTCGCTCTTGTTACCCAGGCTGGAGTGCAATGGCGTGATCTCGGCTCACCGCAACCTCCGCCTCCTGGGTTCAGGCAATTCTCCTGCCTCAGCCTCCTGAGTAACTGGGATTACAGGCACGTGCCACCATGCCCAGCTAATTTTTTGTATTTTTAGTAGAGACGAGGTTTCACCATGTTGACCAGGATGGTCTCGATCTCTTGACCTCGTGATCCACCCGCCTCGGCCTCCCAAAGTGCTGGGATTACAGGCGTGAGCCACCGCGCCCGGCCCCCTACTGCCATTTAACAGAGAAGGTGAGGGCAGCGCAGGAAAGGGAGGCGCTGGACAGCTGTCTCGCCCCGGCCTGGACCCCCTGTTTTCCCCTGAGCAGGGACAGACGGGAGGCATAGGAGGGAAGGAGAAAATGGTTTCATGGATTGGGCTGCTTCTGGCTGCTGGTACATCTGAAGAGACAGTGGGGCAACTGGATAGCGGGGGCACAGGACAGAGAACAGCCATGTGATACCCACAGCCCTCTAAAATCACAGAAGTTGGCTGGGTGTCGTGGCTCACACCTGTAATCCCAGCACTTTTGGAGGATGAGGCAGGTAAATCACCTAAGGTCAGGAGTTCAAGACCAGCCTGGCCAACATGGCAATACCCCATCTCTACTAAAATTAGAAAAATTAGCCAGGCATGGTGGTGCACACCTGCAATCCCAGCTATTTGGGAGACTGAGGCAGGAGAATCATTGGAACCTGGGAGGCAGGGGCTGCAGTGAGCCAAAATTGCGCCACTGCACTCCAGCCCAGGCAACAGAGTGAGACTCTGTCTCAAAAAAATAAAATAAATCACAGTTCTGCCCACACTAGCCAGGCACTGACTCAGTGCCTGGCCCGGGTTTGGCTTGCATTGTCTCCCTGAAACTCGCCAGCATCCCTGTTAGGGGTTGCTATTATTAGATCCAAGTTACAAAAGAGAAAACTGAGGCCCAGACTGGTGTTGCCTGCCCCAAGGTACACAGCCAGGGAGCTGTGAAGCGGTGATTGAAAGGCAGGTCTCTACTCTCAAAGCCCAGGGTCACTTGCCATCATCCCACACTGTCCCCAGTGCCAGATCAACGGAGGGAGAAGAGAAGCATCTATGGAGCACCCATGATACGGTCCTCACTCAGAAGGGGGCTGATGTGGATGGGTAAGGCACTGAACTCTCTCAGAAGGCTTTAGGTCTGTTTGGAGCACAAAAATAAACACACAAGGGAATTAAGCCAAAATGATAGTCTTGGTATAAATATTTCATTTCAGTGCCATGAGAGCATGTGAGGGATGTTATATTTATCCTGTTTTACTGATGGGAAAAAAAAAAAGAGGCTTCGAGAGGTGACATGACTTGCCAAGGTCATGGAGGTAGGGATTGAACCCAGGATTGCATGGGCCTGATGCCTTTGACTATGAAGTTTAAGTTCTCCAATTCTTGGTAGTACCTACCCTGTCCATGAGACTGTCTTCTCTCTCCTCGCCGTCAGACCTCCACACTGTCCCTGCCTGAGTCACAGGCTGAGGAAGAGGGGCAAGGGTAGGGGACAGAAGTGAGAGCAGGGGGCTGGGAATGGTGGCTCATGCCTGTAATCCCAGCACTTTGGGAGGCTGAGGTGGGCAGATCACCTGAGGTCAGGAGTTGGAGACCAGCCTGGCCAACATGGTGAAACCCTGTCTCTACTAAAAAAAATGTAAAGGCCAGGTACAGTGGCTCATGCCTGTAATCCCAGCACTTTGGGAGGCCGAGGTAGGTGGATCCTGAGGTCAGGAGTTCAAGACCCACCTGGCCATGATGGTGAAACCCCATCTCCACTAAAAATACAAAAACATTAGCTGCCCGTGGTGGCCAGTGCCTGTAATCCCAGCTACTCGGGAGTTCTGAGGCAGAGAATTGTTTGAACCCGGGAGGCGGAAGTTGCAGTGAGCCAAGATCATGCCACTACACTCCAGCCTGGGTGACAGAGTGAGACTCCATCTCAAAAAATAAATAAACACAACTAAATAAATAAATAAATAAATTTTTAAAAATTAGCTGGGTGTGGTGGCATGGGTCTGTAACAGCTACTTGGGAGGCTGAGGCAGGAGAATTGCTTGAACCCAGGAGGCAGAGGTTGCAGTGCTAAGACTGTGCCACTGAACTCTAGCCTGGGTGACAGAGCAAGACTCTGTCTCAATAAAAAAAAGAAAGAAAGGGCCGGGTGCGGTGGCTCACACCTGTAATCTTAGCACTTTGGGAGACCGAGGTGGGTGGATCACCTGAGGTCAGGAGTTCAAGGCCAGCCTGGCCATCATGGTGAAACCCCATCTTAAAAAAAAAAAAAAAGGAGCCGGGCACGGTGGCTCAAGCCTGTAATCCCAGCACTTTGGGAGGCCGAGGCGTGTGGATCACGAGGTCAAGAGATCGAGACCATCCTGGTCAACATGGTGAAACCCCATCTCTACTAAAAATACAAAAAATTAGCTGGGCATGGTGGCACGTGCCTGTAGTCCCAGCTACTCAGGAGGCTGAGGCAGGAGAATTGCCTGAACCCAGGAGGCGGAGGTTGCGGTGAGCCGAGATCGCGCCATTGCACTCCAGCCTGGGTAACGAGAGTGAAACTCCGTCTCAAAAAAAAAAAAAAAAAGAAAGAAAGAAAAGAAAAAAGAAATGAGTTCAGGGATCCTGGGGGGCAACATAGCTCAAGCCAGCCTGGAGGGACATAAAGGATGTAAAAGACTGGGGCGGGAGGGCAGAGGACATTCCTGGTGGTGTGGGGCCAGCCTGAGCGAAGGCCTGGAGGCAGGAAAGTGCTCCGGCGCTCAGGGCTGGGGAACTCGGGCGGGCCCACTGCCCTGCCCTCCAGTGCAAGCTGAAGAGCACCCGCAGGACAGCCACCCACCGGCAGGTCCCCAGCCGCACTCCTAACGGCCACTCCAGCCAGCACAAAAGGGGCTCTGAGCTCATCGGAGCCGCCACACTGAGCCCTATTCATTCTCCTAGGGGTGCCAGAAACTGCCTTGGCTCCCCGGCCAAGAGCAGGACCGGCCCCAGCACTGATGCGGTGCCTCTGCCGCAGCAACACAGCATCTCTGTGGCGGGGATTCCCAGGTCTCCCGCCTGGTGCCTGCCTGCCAGGATTCCCTTTCCTGTGCCAGTCTCCCCCTTATCTGTGCCCATCTCTCAGCAACCCCAGCCAGGGCTCACGGAGGCCCACGTGTGCTGGCCTGGACCAGTGTTTGCCCCTCTCATCCTCACAACAACCCCAGTAAGTGGGGGCTGCTGTGGCTCCATTTCACAGATGACAAAACTGGCCCAGAGAGGGAAAGTGAGTTGTGTGGGATCACACAGCAAGTCGGGAGCAGGCCTGGCCTGCTGGGAAGCAGCACAGCCTTGGCAGCTAACCCAAGTCCCGCTGCAACCGCCTCCTGGGAGGGAAGCCTGGGACCTACCCTCTGTTTTCTGCTACGGGCACCAGCCAGGGAGTTAGGACACTAGGTTGCCTGTTCAGTCTCTGCCTCTGCTTTTTTTTTTTTTTGAGGCAGAGTCTTGCTCTGTTGCCCAGGCTGGAGTGCAGTGGCAAGATCTCAGCTCCCTGCAACCTCTGCCTCCTGGGTTCAAGTGATTCTCCTCCCTCAGTCTTCTGAATAGCTAAGAATACAGGTGCATGCCACCACAACCAGCTAATTTTTTTAAAAAATATATTTTTAGTAGAGACCAGGTTTCACTATGTTGACCAGGCTGCTTTCGAACCCCTGACCTCAGGTGATTCACCCGACTTGGCTTCCCAAAGTGCTGGGTTTACAGGCGTGAGCCACCGTACCCACTCCGGGCCTGTTTCTATTAGTGGAAGACGCAGGAAGTGCCCTACCAGATGGCAGTGGACTCCTCTCCCAGCCTGGGTTGTCAGCCTGGGGTCCAGGATAAAACGCTGAACCCCTGAGGTTGGCTGCCTACCTCACACTTCTCCCCATTCTAGAAATCAGGTCACTGAGGCTTAGGCCCCGCCCCAGCCCCAGCAGCTGCTGACACCCTCTGCAGATGTCCAGAGTGACCCTCAGGGGGAGGTTGCATTTCCTCATCTGGGCCCTACCCACCTGAACGTGCACACGGGAAGTTTGTAGGGTGGGAAGGAACCAGCCGGTGGGTTAAGGGGCCTAGAAGGGAGCATTGTGACCCAGTCTGGGCCAGCAACCAGCTGTGCTGCCTGGGGGAATCCCTCTGCCTCTCTGTGCCTCAGTTTCACCATCTCTGTCCATGGGTGCAGTGGACCACATGATGACATCTCCCTGTGAGCTTGGAAAGGGTGACCGTGCTTTGGCAGGCACCGATTCTGTGCCAGGCCCTGTACCAATTGCTGAACCCTGAGAAGTGGGCACTGCCAGTACCCCCTGATCACAGGGAGGACATTTGCACTGTAGCAAAATGGCCAGCCAAAAGCGGAACTTGGATTTGGGTGGCCCAGAGTCCACAGGCCCGACCACAGCACTCCCCGATCTGCGGCTGCCGGTCCCCCTCCTGGGTATGGAGGCTAAGAAGCAACTGCCCTGCACACAGGCCTGACTCCCCTCACCTTCCCAGCCTGACCGCTAGGCCCCCTGACAGCTGTTGGCAGGTCCCCGGCGGCCCCCAGCCCACTGGGCTCCATTCCCAGAATCTGTGGCTTGCTCCTTAGACCCTCCAGGTCCCAAGGGCTTGCAGTCTGCCCTGTGTCCTGCTGCTGAGCCCGAGGAGGCGGCCCACAGCGGCCAGGGCTAGGGGAGGCCCCAGCCCCCGCCCCCTGCAGAGAGGGTGGGGAGGGTGGGGAGGGTGGGGCTGTGGGAGTTTCACTGGTTTAAAAATACACAGAGGAAGCTAGTGAGAGGGCGAGAGAAAGGGGAAGGGGAGGTGGGGGAGGCACCTCAACCCTGCCGTCCAGAGCCTCCAGCAGCCACTTGCAAGCTGGCCAAGGGCTTCACACGACTTGCCAGGATGACGGAGGGGACCAAGAAGGCCAGCAAAAAGTTCAGTGAGTGCGGGGTGCCATCTGCGCTGTCCTCCATCCCTCGCTCTCCTCTGGGCCTCTCTCTGCATCTGTTTCTTCATCACTGTCTCATTTCTGTGGGGCCACACTCGCCCACTGCTCTGTTTTCCTGTATCTGCCCTCCCAGTTTCTTTTTTACTTTTGGATGCCAGGGTGTCTCTCTGTCACCCAGGCTGGAGTGCAGTGGCAGAATCTCGGCTCACTGCAGGCTTGACCTCCCAGGAGCAAGTGATCCTTCCACCTCAGCCTCCCAAGTAGCTAGGACTACAGGCACAATTAATTTTTTTTTTTTTTTTTTTGGGCTGGGAGTGGTGGCTCACGCCCATAATCCCGGCACTTTGGGAGGCTAGGCAGGTGGATCACCTGAAGTCAGGAGTTCAAGACCAGCCTAGTTAACATGGTGAAACCCTGTCCCTACTAAAAATACAAAAAATTAGCCAGGCGTGGTGACACACACCTGTAATCCCAGCTACTCAGGAAGCTGAGGCAGAAGAAATGCTTGAACCCTTGAGGTAGAGGTTGCAGTGAGCTGAGATCGCACCACTGCACTCCAGCCTGGGCAGCAGAGTAAGACTGCATCTCAAAAAATAAGTAAATAAATAAAATAAGATAATAATAATTATTATTTTGTTTTAGAGACTGGGGGAGTCTCACTTTATTGCCCAGGCTGGTCTTGATCTCTTGGGCTCATGCGATCCTCTTGTGCCGGCCTTGTTTCTGTTTCTCTTTGTCCGCCTCTGTCTCTCTGCAGACCGTCTCTGCTTCTGGGCATCCCCGTGGCTCTCCAGCTGTCACTCTGGCCCAGCATCTGTCTCTCTCTCTGACTGACTTCGTGCTCCATCTCTGAGCTTCTCTTGTCTCTGTCTCTTTGTCTCCCCACCGCGTCTCTGAATCTCTGTAGTCCACTGTGTCTCTAGCTGTCTCTGACCTCATAGCTGGGTGGGGGAGGTCCTCAAACACTCCATCCCCCTGCCCCCGGGCCTGGGCTCACAGGTGGGGAGTTACTGGGGTGGCAGGGGATGGGGGTGTCATGGGAAGCTGTCCCACATTCCCAACAGCGGTGCGCCTGGGACCCAACCCTTGGGTGGGGAAGAGCCCAGAGCTACTAGAACCAGGCTTCAGGGTGAGGGCCACACTCGCCCACTGCTCTGTTTTCCTGTGTCTGGCCCTCCCAGTTTCAGCAAATTCTGTCCACTGATTCCTTTGATCTGACCCCACGAGGGTAGAAGACAGCTGGTGTCAAGGGCAGAGATTGTGAGCGCATTTCACAGAGGGCAATGCTGAGGCCTGGAGACTTGCCTGAGGTCACAGGCTATTGAACAGGCCCAATCCCAGTCCCTGGAGTCTGGGCCTCAGTTTCCCTCCTGCCCCCAACTATCTCCTCCAAATGCATAGTGCCTAGGAGGCAAAACCAGTGGTGCTGAGAAAGAAGGCAGTTGAAGGTCCTCCCTCTGGCCGCTGACGAAATTTCCACCCCCACCACATGCAGAGTGGCCGCATTTGCTGACCACGTTTCTCAGGAGGCCAAGGCGACAACCAAGTGGGGCCGGCAGGGCTAAAGAAAGCCCCTGAGCACTGACCCAGCTGTGCTGAGCCCTGGGCCTGAGTCCAGGCTCAGCTGTGGCCTTGCTGTATGACTCTGGGCAAGTCCCCCCCCCATCCCTGGGCCTCAGTTTCCTCCCTTCTCAACTGGGGGCATCCTACCTGCATCCCAGAGCTGGTGTGAGCAGCTGAAGAGGCGGAGGATGCTGAGGAAGTGGGAAATGCCAGAGTTCTTCCTTTTTGCTCATCTGGAGGCTGTGGGGAAGTCAGTTGGTGGTGGTGAGAAGGAACGGTCCCACAGCTGGGGGCAGGGGGCAGGGAACTCACATGCACCCCCACGGAAACCAGGAGATGGTATCACCTCAGCCGTGCCTCGAGTCAGGAGCTGGGCTCAGCTGACAGGAAGGAGAGAAACACAGACATTGCGACCCTCAGGCTCACAACAACCCCCTCCTCATTCCACCCCCGCCCCAGGTTCACAGAGGCTGGCTGGAACACCCCCAACCACATAACCACAAAACACGAATACCTGCTCCACCTACCAGCAGCATGACCTCAGTTCATTACACCGCTCTGAATCTCAATTTTTTCATCTGGAAAATGGGAGATTAAACTGTGTCACTAAGTTATGTTGAGAATTCATGCAGCACATGTTTGGCAGATGCAGAATCATTTTTAGAAATTTTTATTTTTATTTTTATTTATTTATTTATTTATTTTTGAGATGGAGTTTCGCTCTTGTTACCCAGGCTGGAGTGCAATGGCGCGATCTCGGCTCACCGCAACCTCCGCCTCCTGGGTTCAGGCAATTCTCCTGCCTCAGCCTCCTGAGTCGCTGGGATTACAGGCACGCACCACCATGCCCAGCTAATTTTTTGTATTTTTTTAGTAGAGACGGGGTTTCACCATGTTGACCAGGATGGTCTCGATCTCTTGACCTCGTGATCCACCCGCCTCGGCCTCCCAAAGTGCTGGGATTACAGGCTTGAGCCACCGCGCCCGGCCCCATTTATAGAAATTTTTAAATTATTGTTGTTATTAGTGGCTCACCCCTGTAATCCCAACACTTTGGGAGGCCGAGGCGGGTGGATCCCTTGAGGTCAGGAGTTGGAGACCAGCCTGGCCAAAATGGTGAAACCATATCTCTACTAAAAGTATAAAAATCAGCTGGGCATGGTGGCGCACGCCTGTAATCCCAGCTACTCCGGAGGCTGCAGCTGGAGAATCGCTTGAACTTGGGGGCCAGAGATTGCAGTGAGCTAAAATCATGATATTGCACTCTAGCCTGGGTGACAGAGTAAGACTCTGTCTCAAAAGAAAAAATAATAAATAAATAAGCATTTTTTTTTTTTGAGACAGGGTTTCACCATGTTGGTCAGGCTGGTCTTGAACTCTCGACCTCAGGTGTTACGCCTGCCTTGACCTCCAAAGTGCTTGGATTACAGGCGTGAGCCACTATGCCCAGCCATAAATAAGCATTACTATTAGAGACAGGCTCTTGCTCTGTTACTCAGGTTGGAGTGCAGTGGTGCCATCATAGTGCACCGCAACCTTGAATTTGGGGGCTTAAGCTATCCTCCTGCCTCACCTCCCAAGTAGCTGGGATTACAGGCACACACTAGCATGCCCAGCTAATCCGGCTGTTAATATTTTTTTTTTATTTTTGATATGGAGTCTCACTCTTGTAACCCAGGCTGGAATGCAATGGCACAATCTCAGCTCACTGCAACCTCCACCTCCAAGGTTCAAGGAATTCTCCTGCCTCAGCCTCCCACGTAGCTTGGATTACAGGCGTGCACCATGACTCCCAGCTAATTTTTGTGTTTTTAGTAGAGACAGAGTTTCACCATGTTGACCAGGCTGGTTTCAAACTCCTGACCTCAGGTGATCCACCTGCCTTGGCCTCCCAAAATGCTGGGATTACAGGTGTGAGCCATCGTGCCAGGCCTTAATTATTTATTATTATTATTATATAATAACATATATATATTATATGTTATATAATATGTAAATATATATAAATATATAAACCCGAGATGGGGTTTCACCATATTGGCCAGGATGGTCTTGATCTCTTGACCTCATGATCCACCCACCTTGGCCTCCCAAAGTGCTGGGATTACAGGCGTGAACCACGGCGCCCAGCCTATTATTGTTATTATTATTTTTCTAAGATATCACACTAGTCCATATTATTATTATTATTATTATTTAAGTTGGAGTCTGTTCTTATTGCTCAGGCTGGAGTGTAGTGGTGTGATCACAGCTTACTGCAACCTCCGCCTTCTGAGTTCAAGGATTCTCCTGCCTCAGTCTCCTGTGTAGCTGGGATTACAAGCACCTGCCACCATGCCCAGCTAATTTTTTGTATTTTTAGTAGAGATAGGGTTTCACCATGTTGGCCAGGCTGGTCTCAAACTCTTGACCTCAGATGATCCACCCGCCTCAGTCTCCCAAAATACTGAGATTACAGGTGTGAGCCACTGCTCCTGGCCTAGGCTTTTCTTTAATCCTCACATTTCCCTAGGGGGTAGATGCTAGAATCTCTATTTTACTGATGCGGAGAATGAGGCTTAGCTTAGAGGGGTCAAGTGACCTGTCTAAGGTCATACAGCTAGGATGTGAAAGAGCAGGAATTCAAGTCCAGAGCTATGTGACTCCAAAGCTACCATCTTATACCACTTCTGGGGGTGTGCTGACAATTAGAAGGGGTGTCCAGAAAGCCCCTAGCCCTCTTTAGCCCCTCACTGAGTGAAACTGCAGGAGTTTTTCATTATTATTATTGATGTTAACATTGTCATTAACTCCTTTTCCTTCCCTTCCCCTCTGCTAGAGTTCTTCAAGTTCAAGGGCTTTGGGAGTCTCTCCAACCTCCCTCGGTCCTTCACTCTGAGACGGTCCTCAGCTCCCATCAGTAGGCAGTCCCATTTGGAGCCTGACACCTTTGAAGCCACGCAGGATGACATGATGACGGTGCCCAAGAGTCCCCCAGCCTATGCCCGCTCCACTGACATGTACAGCCACATGGGCACCATGCCTCGCCCCAGCAGCAAGAAAGCACAGAACTCACAGGCTGCCCAGCAGACCCAGGAGGTGGGCCCCAAGCCCAACCTGGTACCCCGAGGTCTGCCCGACCCCCCAGGCTTGGAGGCAGCCAAGGAGGTGGTGGTGGAGGCCAATGGTCCCCTGGAGGACACCCCAGCAATGGAACCCAACCCTTCAGCAGTGGAGGCAGACCCCGTTGGAAAGCCTGAGGTCCCCACAGCAGACATAGAAGAGGAGAGACCTCCCAGGGACATGCACTCAGAAAGGTAGGTGCCCAGGGGCTGGTGACAGCAGGACTTGCAGGGATGTTTTCTTTTTAACCCAGTACACATCTGGGTTAAAAAGAAGGCTGGGTGCAATGGCTCACACCTGTAATCCCAGCACTTTGGGAGGCTGCTGCAGGCCAAACATGAGGTCAAGAGATAGAGACCATCCTGGCCAACATGGTGAAACCCCATCTCTACTAAAAATACAAAAATTAGTTGGGCGTGGTGTCCCAGCTACTTGGGAGGCTGAGGCAGAATCACTTGAACCCGGGAGGTGGCAGTTGCAGTGAGCCACGATCAGGCCATTGCACTCCAGCCTGGTGACAGAGTGAAAGTCTGTCTCAAACAAACAAAAAAACAAAAACAACAAAACAAAAAAAACCCCTACACAGTGATCAGGTGCTTACTGTAGAACAGGCACTGTGCCTGTAAAACCCTTCACTTGTAATCAGCAAAAGAAAGCTGGCAAGGAGAAACTCTTATCGTGTTCATGGGATAGACGAGGAAGCTGAAATTCAGAAGGTGACGTCATCCGCCTCAGTCAGTGTGCACATTTACTAATGACAAAGCCACCATGTGAACCGAGACCCCCTGCTTTCAAAACCCCTGTCAGCATCTAGCATGGGCCCTTAGCTGCTGGCTGGGTCCAAAACCCAGTCACCAGACCCCTACCCTGGACCCCCTCACCCAAATGGCAACCATTATTTCTTCTGGACAATACCTCCACCTAGTCTAGAAGACCATTCATCAGCTTAAGCTGGTTATAGGGTGAGTTGAGTTCAGGCAAAAATACAAATTGTGATAATAGGACAATACCTCCCATTTAGTAAGCATTTTTACTGGTTTTTATCAAAACAAATATCTCGCTGAAAGCTCCGTAAAAGATTCAGTCATGAAGGCCAGGTGCAGTGACTCACACCTGTAATCCCCGAACTTTGGGAGGCTAAGGCAGGCAGATCACTTGAGGTCAGGAGTTTGAGACCAGCCTGGCCAACATGGTAAAACCCCGTCTCTACTAAAAATACAAAAACTAGCAGAGCATGGTGGTGCATGCCTGTAATCCCAGTTACTCGGGAGGCTGACGCGAGAATTTCTTGAACCTGGGAGGTGGAGGTTGCAGTTTGCCAACCTCCGCCTTCAGTTCACACCACTGAACTCCAGCTGGGCAACAAAGGAAGACTCTGTATCAAAAAGAAAACAAACAAACAAAAAACAAAGATTCAACTGTTAGCCCCATTTACAGATTGGGAAACTGAGACTCAGCCAAGGTTACACAGAGCTGGGATTTGAGCAGGAATCTGCCTGCCTCCAGAGGCTGCACACTTACGTAGCGTGAATTGGACTCACTACCTTCTCAACCCTAAGGCCATGTCTTTCACACCCTGGGAGACCCCTCAATCCCAGCCAAGAGTCCCCGGGTTTTGGATCCTCAGAGCCTTTGTCTCAACCACGACAGTCACATGTGCCTGTCAAAATAAAGAAAAAAACCCAGTTGAGCAAAAGTAATTGTAGGGCCAGTTCTGGGACCTTTCTTTTTTTTTTTCTGGTAACTTTCTTGAGCAGCTTTTTCCTAAGACATCAAGCACAGCCTCTGTCTCTGAGCTGTGATTGCCTAGACCCCTGATCAGTGAGGAGCAGGATTATGTAAAGGGGCAGGGCGAATCCAGTCCAGATTCTGCTTCTTACTGGCTGCATGACTGGACACATCTGTTCCTCTCCGGGAGCCTCAGTTTCTCATCTGATAAATGGGCATAACAATAGCACCTACTTGGTCGGGTTGTGGTGAGGATTCAAGAATAACATACCTGTAAAATCTCAACAGAGTGGCTAGCACGCTGCACTCAGTAAATGGGAATGCTATATTTACGATTAATAAAACTCATATTTTCCACCATCCCTGGCTGCCTTCTGCCATCCTACACTCGGCCTCATTCGGGCGTAGAGGACCAAGGATTGTATGTAGGGGAGACGGCCTGATGTGTCCTGGGGCGTTCCAAGGCACCTCAAGGTGGAAGACTGCACCAGGAGCCTGGCCCCTCCTACCTAGGGAAGCCGAGTTTCTCGGGCGCGGGGCGGGGCGGGGTGGGGCGAGGCGAGGCGGAGTTGAGGGCGTGTCTGGGGGCGTGGCCTACCCAGGCTTCACGGAGAGTTGCTGGGGAGAGAGCTTTGGAACCCGGCGGGCGAGGCGAAGGGGTGTGCTCGGGGGCGCGGCCTTCCCGACACTGACTGACAGGGAGGAGGCGGAGCGAGACCGGAGGCGGAGGGGCGTGTCCGAGGCGGGC